CCTTTAAGGTCCCTTCCACCCCAAACCAAGTCTATGGTTTTACGATAATTGCAGTAAATTGGCTCAGAAGCTCCAGTGGCTGCTCTGGCAAAGGTAGTTCAAAGTTGAGCTGACCCAGACAGAAATGCAGGTAACACCTGATATGTTTAGCCTAAAGAAAAGAGGACTGAGAAGCGGTGGGATTGTTGTCCATAAATACTTGGGGGTCAGCTGGGGTAAACACCAGTGAGTACAAATGAACAAGCTACTTAGAGCTGAAAAACCCTTGGGCAACAAATGGGAATAAATTCGGCTTATAATAAAAACAAGAATACGCTTTGTAATAGTAAGAGGGATAAAGTTGTACAAGAGCTTTCTAGTTGGGCCAAGGAGCAGGAGACGTAACTGGCTTTAAGAGAAGGTAAGGCTCTTGATAGGAGCGTTTGGATTGCAATGACAGGGGACCCACTCTGTGACCCCTGCAGGAACCCCTCCATGCACACGTGAGTGTGTTGAAACATTTCCTTCCGACAGAAAGTCTCTAAACATGTTATTTGGACAAGTCCTTAATTACAAGCTTTGCATTAATAATAATAATTTTTAAAAGATCAATATTTCTGTTTCTTGCTCTGTTCTGGCAGTACAGCTTTCCTTGTGGGGAGAAGCAATGGTATTTTTTCCATGCAGCAGTAGTCTTGGTTGATTCACGTCAAGAGAGCTCTTAATACATACTGGAGGCAGGAATATGAACTTGTTCTGTGCCCACAGACATGGTTTGACAGAGGCCATTTCAAACTCAGTCATGTGAGTGGGGAGTTACTTCACGCACAATCACTGAGCCTGTTTTACATTTTATGTTTGAATGATGAATTTTTTCAAAAGGAAACATATTTAATCAGATCCCATTCTTTCTCTTTTTTCTTCCAGCCTTTGTGGGAGGGCTGAGTACCTCTCACAGATTTTCTCTTCTCCTCAAAACACTTACAGCTTATCTCCCACGTGAAAAATGCTCCACGTGAAAAATTTGTCAGGTCTTGGTTTTGTTCGGTTTTTCGGGTTTTTTTTGCTGAAGGCTGGGTATGAAATTTGTCGCCCTCTTAACTGGAGATGGCCAAGAAACATTTAGCAGTCCTGCAAAGGGACTGTCACAGCCACAAAAAGGCATCCCACCATGTCTGCTATGAAGGCAGCTATGCTCTCCATCCCCAATGTAAAGGCACTGGACCATGTCATCCTACAATTTAAACAATGCTATTTAAATTGCCTCTCAACTTGAAAAAAGTTTCTGTACCTGAACTCTGGCCTCCCAGAGTGTGGTAAAGAAAGGAGAAACACAGCCTGATTCGGAATCAGTTCTGTGCACTCCTGCAGAGCATTTAAAAGAACAAAAACATCAGCCTCATTAAATTGTAATAAAATTTGTGTTCGAAACTGTAAACAGGAAAGGAAATCACGAATTAACTGAAGAAAGGCATGTATACTTTTACTGACAGATATAAGTCCTTAGACGTACACAAATGTCAAGGACTATGGTACTGAAGGGCAGTAAATGCCATCCATACAGGCAGCATACACCATAGACCTGCTCTCAAGAGTGTAACTGGTAGGTTAACAGCAGGTTCCTGGCTCAGCTAGCAGTAATTATTGCAAACCCCCAGACTAGCTAACCTGAGAGCCTGTTTAAGGGGAGTAATTACATATTTTGTCAAGAAGTTATACAAAAGGGAGTGATTTGAAGAGCACCAGCCTTGAGTTGAGGTCTGAAGGGCACATACGGACTGAAGAGTTACCTGCAGGATGCCATGGGGTTGGTGATACACTTAGCACACACGGAGCACATTTATTCCTTTCCTATATATTGTTCCTCTAACACTTCTGCCCTAAAATTAAATAACACCATGTTCTGGAAAAGCTCTTAGTTCCTCTTTCTGTCTTGTAGTCCCTGGGGGAGAACTGGCTTACAGATGCTGCACTGAGGTTAAGCCCACCAGAAGTTTGCAGGGCTGGAGCCTCGAATGCTGATTTAAAAAGAGAGGATTGCAGCATCCACCTACACATCTCTCCCTTTTTCTAACCCCATAAAGGTACCAGCTGAAGAGATGACACCTAAGTAAGACAACCTACAGAGGGCCACAGATGCTGACAAAAAGGCAATTAACCCCAAACCTGTGACTCAAACTGCTGGTGAACTGCGTGGGCTTCTGGATGATGGGTTTGATCGAAAACCAGACAACTTTAAAAGGCTTTGGACCGAGCTCTATGAGCTCAGAGACTGTCAACGCAAAGGTTAACTACTGTATGCAAATCAAATATGTAAATGTAACATTCAAAGTGTGATCATATATATCAGACAGAATTATGGCTCCCTGAATCCCGTAACAGAACCTTTCATTACATGTTTTCTAAAGTCTCGTGTTCATTACAAACTAATAGGACATAAATGTAATGTCAGGTAACAGAAGAGGGGGAAGACTGCACTCCCAGTATTTTAAACTATGGGGAGAACTAATGTGTTTCAGTAAAATTTGATGTGCCCAAAACCTTTGACTCCCATTTTAAAGTCCTATTTGCATTTTAGAAATTTATTTTGAATAAATTAATCTTGCAAAATAACAGTCAAAATGGTAATCAGCTATTACAGCTACAGCACTAGACCTGTGGACCAGTCTAGGCACGTCCAGTACATGGTTCCAACTGGGAAGCATTTTATGGTGTGGAAGTCAAAGATCCATGTGGGATGCACTGCTTGGGCACAGCAGCTTGCCTGCTTTTTCTGGGCCATTTTTTTAATGTCTTAACTTCAACACTTAAAACTCTACACTCTATGCTTTCTACGCTGTTTTTTTCATATACTTTTGAAATACAGCAAGAAACAACCAATGTTTTCTTTAATGAAATCTTAAGTACTTTCTGCTCTGAATCTTCAGAAGCCCTAGTGATCAATATCTTTCCTGGTCCAAACGTATTACCTCCAGGAACATCACCAGATAATAGTTCAAAGCGTCCCCCCAAATCACATATGAGTATACTTTTGCAAAATATTACTGCTTCATTTTGTCTTTGCTATCTCTCAACATAAGAGATCGTGATTACTCTGTATAGGCTCAAAGGAATGAAAGATGGCATGCGAGTTGGAAACAGGGAGGCTGCTCTGCAGCTCCCAGACACAATCTCTGATGTTATGATCTACAAAGCTTGTACCTTTCTTCTACAGAAACGTTGTACAGACAATTTATTCCATTCATATTTAAGTTTTTCACCTGGATTAAAAGGTTGAATAGACCATCCTTTGAAAATGTCATGCATTTTTGAGTTGACAGGTTTATTTTTTCCAGCAATGGTCTTAACATCAGCTTTCTTATCTTCTAAACCTGGTACCTTCATGCAGTAATCCAGGAAACCATTTGATCTCATTATTTCTGTATATCCTCGCTCACAACCGCAGACTCCTCTCTAGGTGATAAAAGGGAAATCAGTATTAAACCAGACTCACAGAACAGTGCAAATTGTAGGCAAACTATAAAGAAACTGCAAGGTATATCCTGCACATGCTACTTCTCCACCACCAAACCAAACAAGCCAGGAAATGGCGCCCGCAAACCCACTGCAGTTCAAAAAGCCACGATATTTTTGGGAAATTGGTTGAAAAAGAGTCAGTAATTATGGAGTAGCCCAACATACAAACATTTTCATCCTAATTTGCTTAATAACAGGCATCCGTGGCTTGATCCACACTCCTCTTGTCAATAAAAATTTTCCCACTGACCCTGCTGGGCTTTAGAAGAGATGAAAAAGAAACAATCCCACCTCCGACCCAAAACTTCCCCACGTATTTCCACTCCAGTATTTCACAGGGCTCTCTGAAATGAAGGTTACTTTCTTACAGACAAATATCCACTGCCCTGGATGCAGTTTCTTCAAGAGGTTTCTTAGAAGTCCGTGGTTTGCTAAACAGATACTCCATTTCTGGATTTCTACTTTAAAACAGCTGTTTTAAATTGGTTTTCTTTGCTAATTACCTTATAATGCCTGACTGAGGGTCTGATACCCTTTGGTTACAATCCAAACAGGCGATTGATTCACCATCTCTCATAAGAATTTAACTCTTGACATCGGTTTAGTTGCCACTACATCCCCCATTTGTTGACAAACATGATCCTGAGCCTTTTTGGGACAAAAGGCGAAGTCTCAAGAGTTTTTATAGCTAACAAATTCATGCTTACCCATCGTTTTTATGTTCCTGTAGACTCCGAGTACTCTCACAACCACCCTCTCAGACACATTCAATTACCCATGAGCTAGCTTCCAATGGTAATACCTCAGCTGAAGCTGAGAGCTGTGGAGGCTATTTTCAAAATATAAATATCTAAACCCCAGCTGCCTCTGGATGCTGTAAGGGTTCTGCATTTTATACTCCATCACAGTACAGACATGGATAAGGCATTTTGGGAAGCTCTTACTCTGGTGTTCAGTACTGCAGGAAGGGACACCCATAACCTCTGGGCTTGTGTTTGCTCAGAGGCAAAGAAGTGGCAGTGGCTCCATGATTCAGCAAGTGTTGCTCAACTTTTCAGCAAAAAAAGTTTTGCTTTAGAAGGCAGGACAGGGATGGTGGGGTCACACTGCTACAGCTTTGCTACGCTCAAGGGGGCTTTCTGCGTCCATGGAGAAGCAGGAGAGGACATACTCTTTTATCTCTTCTTTTACAGAAGTTTTAAACAATTTTCTATAGGACTGTACAATAGCATTCCAGGAAAATTAAACCAAGAGGTTCCAAAACCCCTCCACAGAACAAACCCGAACTTGTAACACCACATAAATACTCCATCACTTGTTTGGGCAGGTTTATTGTTTCCTTTCAGATTGAAGTTCCCACAAGTTCCTCGAGGTGGTACCATACCAACACTAAACTATTTTCTAGGTCCTGGAATGCATTTAAGATACAGAAGCTAATTGAGTAGATTTTGTGGTGTTAATTTCTCAAACTTATTCTGCAGCGGGCAATTACCTGTGTGCAGTAGGAGAACGGTTTTCTGCACGCTGGGCTGCAGTGCCGAACTTCTGCAGGTTTTGTCCGAAGAGCACAACCTCCTGCAAAAGAAAAGACTGAGTACCTTCAAGGGCACGTTCTAAACTGTTTTTGACTTAGTTCACCATAGTATAGGAAGTGCTTGCTTGCTTATTTTATGTAGTTAAATACTAGACTATTGAGCACATTAGCATAATATCTGTAGGCGTTGCATTAATTAATTTGCCTTAACAAGGCAGGGAATTATTATCATACCCATCTTGTTAATGGAGAACAGAGACATACAAATTTAAGCAATTTGCCACAGGCCACATAGGAAGTTTGGGACAGAATCGGGAATTAGATGCAGATCTTCTATGCCCTCATTAATGTCTTTTCTACAAAAGAAGACATAATACACATAATGCCTTTGCCCACCCTCACTTGGGGAAGTCTGTGCTTCTACAGGAACAAAAACATGATGATGAGCTCTTTACTCGGCAACCTTTGCACATAAAACTTTTGTTATTATCTTAATTAGTCATTATAAATAGAACTAGATAAGAATATCTGCATCTTCATTCTACTCTTTCCTCATTCACCCTGTGCATATTGAGAGAGATCCTATGGATGTGCAAGCCCTACTGCCTTTGCCAATCTCTCGTGGAGCTTCAAAGTTCTGACCATGAATTTCCCTTTTCATCCTGCGCAGGCAGAATTTGTAGGTCAGGGCAACAGCAG